GTGAGCCAGCAGAGACTGCAGTATCTCCGGAACAACCAAACAAAACAACAACAACACAAAGCAAAAGACAAAAAGGCAGGTCTAATGAGAGGGTGCTTTTAAACAGTGGTTTCACAGAATTGGGGAAAAGGCGCATGTGGCAGAGAGAAGCAGAACTAGCGGCGTGTTGGCGACAGGCATGGAAGTGTGCCTGCAACAGACGAAGGAGCATTTCGCTAATGACTAGGGCCAGTCCTTGGGCCACCACTGGGCCCAGCTTGGCCCTGTCTCACCACCCTCTACGCCTGTGCCTCCTCTTGATCTGCAGTAGCGGAGTTGCCCCGCAGTGGCTGCTATTGCTGCCCTAGCCACCTCCCACACAGCTCACCCTGCTGTGGGGAGGAGAGCTCTCAGGTCACCAAGCTGTGCATGATGGTAGTGCCCCGGGTACCCACAGGGTGGCCAATGACAAGGGCAGGGTGGTGTACAGCAGCCTGGAGCTCACCTAGGTCCTGCCCCCAACATGCTGCCTAACCTCACTGACCGAACAACAAGATGTCTGAGGTGAAAAAGGGTTCATTTTCTGGATTAAGTCTCCTCAAAAGACTTTTGTGGCCCATGCTGCCATCAGAGGCTGTGTTTATGTCTGTGATCCATGTTGCTGCCAGATGCTATGCTGATGTCCACAGTCTTGGTGGCCGGGATCCCTGCTGCCAACTGAAAACCATGTTAAAGTCCATGCTACTGCAGGCTGCTATGGGCAAGGAGGCTTCTTTTGCAGTGGTATTGATGAGTGCGGACTCATAACTGAGAATGAGAGACATTGGCGTGTAGGCAGAAGTTTCTGTCCCACCTGCCAGCACACAAATAACCACCCAAAGACTTCTTGTTAACTATAAATGCTCAGCTGATAGCTTAGGCTTATTACTAACTAGCTCTTACAACTTAAATTAACACATACCTCTTATCCACACTCTACCGTGTGGTGATATCTTTTTTTTTCAGCATGGAATGTTCATCTCCTGCTTCCTGTGTCTGGCTGGCAACTCCATCCTTCTTCTTCCCAGCATTCTCTCAGTCTGGCTCTCCCACCTAGCCTCTTCTTGCCTAGCTGGTAACCAGTTAGCTCTTTATTAAACCAATGAGAGCAACACATCTTCGCAGTGTTCAAAAGGGTTATTCCACAGCATCACAGGCTTTGGTGATGACCTCTCCCCTACTCCAGAAAGAAGTAGCCAGACAGAAAGCTATTGGAGAGAGTCCTTTAAACCCGTGATAAAGATCCTGAAGTGTAGCAGTTTCAGAGAATGCAAATGCCCCTTCTGGCCTCCTTCTGCTACACCTGTGTGTTCACAGTGCACTTACAGACAAGCAGGCTCACACATATCTAAATAAAATAAGTAATTTAATTAAAACACTTTTAAGTAAAGTAGAGAGTGATAAAGGGAGACACTTGAAGCCCACTTGACTCCTCAGGAGCAGGAACAGGTGAGTCCTCCTGCACACACACACAGACACTCACACACACACACACACACACACACACACGTGATTATTTCGGGTCTGAGCTGCTGAGCAGCCAGGAATCAACAAGCAACCTCTAAAGCTAGTGCGTGCTTCTTCTGGCATAAAACTGGAATGTGGGGCTATTTATTTCATGTTGCTAAATCTAAATTATCAAGTTTGGAAATAATCTCACACCAAAGGCTGATTTTGCAATTGTATGGCTCAATTCATAGAGAACCAGGAGACTGGAACTAAAAACATAAATGAGTTTCTTGATCCAAATGTCATACATTGCCAAGTCAAGTAGAAATGCGTAGCTTCACATGTCCAAGGAACATAAAATAAAAACAAAAATCTATACTTCCAGCTCTTACTCAGAGCCCATCAGCCAGTATTTGTTATGCTGTGCTCGGTCACTCCGGGGAAAAAACTCCTCTTTGGCTCCGCTTCCAAGAACATCTCAATTTCACAGGACCTGGCTGGCATATGGTTCAGCCAGTAAAGATACCTGACGCCAAGCCTGACGACCTGAGTTCAGTCCCCAGGACCCACATGGCGGAAGGAGAAAACTGACTCCCACGAGTTATCCTCTGACCTCCTCACAAGCTGTGGCGTGCAAATAAATAAATGTAAAGTTTAATTATATGGGCTAGGCTGGGAGAAGTGGTTCAGTAGGAAGAGCACTTGCTGAGCGAGCACCAAGACCTGAATTTGGACTCCAGCACAGATACCTCTCCGGTAAAAAGTCAGCCATAGCCAGGCAACCCCGTAACTCGAGCACAGTGGGGGTCAGCTACAGGAGCATGACCGGGGTGTGGTGGTGGTGGTGATCAACCTCGTTCCAGGGTCAGTGAGAAGCCTAGGCAGAGAATGCCGGAGCAGGACACCCTACATCCTCCTCTGGCCACTGCACACACACACAGGCACAAGCACAGGAAACACGTGTGCACATACAGCACATACACACTGCTCTCTCTCTCATACACACATACACAGCAATACATATATGCTCTCTTTCTCACACACACACGCACATACACACTGCTCTCTCTCTCACACACACACATACACAGCAATACATACATGCTCTCTCTCACACACACACACACATACAGCACATACACACTGCTCTCACACACACGAAGTATAGCAAATAAATTACACATGCCAATTAAAGGACTGGATTGTAGGTAGCTTCTTCGAATAAAACGATGCCGGAAGTCAGTGGCGAGTCGGTATTAGTACACATTGCACACACTACGCTGTGCTACTATTACCATTAACCACCGGGAATTCAGTTTTTAGAAGTCGTCAAGAGCAGGCATGATAATGAAAGCCCGCAATCTCAGCACCCAGAAAGCTGAAGCAAGGGGACTACTGGGAGTTTGAGGCCATCCTGGGATACATATTGAGCACCGGGTCAGCCTGGGCTACATAACAATACCCCATCTCAGGTAAAATCCAATGTCAAAACTGAAACATCTCATCAGTTTTTACACCGATGCATGCAGTTTTTTACACTTTATGCATCTATTTAAAAGTATATATTTGCAAGACAAGGTTTATCTGTGTAACTTTGAAACCTGTCCCGGGACTCGCTTTGTAGACCAAGCTGGCTTAGAACTCACAGAGATCCGCCTGCCTCTGCCTCCCAAGTGCTAGGATTAAAGGTGTGTGCCACCACTGCCTGGAAATTTAAAATAAATTTAATGAAAAAAGCTAATTCATTCTTTCATATTTCTTTCATTTTTTTGTTTTAACATCCTGGCCCAAGTTTCACCCCCTCTCCTCTCCTTCAAGTCCCTCTCCACTGAAAAAGATAAGTTTTTAGATGTCAAAAATCACTTTTGATGTTCCTCTGGCTTCTCATTTTAGTCACACAAACGAAAACCTAAAATGACGAGATGGTCTCCTGGATGCAGGCACCCACTGCCAGCCCTGAAGACGAGAGTCCCACGTGAATCAATCCCCGGGACCAACACAGTGAAGGAGAGCGCCAACTTTAACAGCTGTCCTCTGACCCTACTGCACTCACGTGCCCACACTGACGCAAGCACCTCATACACACTGTGAAGTGATACTCTGTATTGCAGATGATTCCCAACTCAGTTAATAGTAATACCATCTGCTCATTTCACTGAAAGAGATCAAGCTTCCACAAATCGTGCATTTGTGCCCTGAAATCCAAACTGTCAGTCAAGGGAAGTGGAAGACTATAAAAAGATCAGGAGTAACAGCATAGTAGAGCAAAGTCATGTCTCATCTATGACCACCAGGTGGCGCTAATACACTACGACTCCACCAACTGGACATGGTCTTGTGATCTTGGGTGGTATCCGAGGATACAGAGTACGCCCCAAAGACCACCACAGAGCCGGTATCCGATGCAAACGGGCTTATTGATTACAAGTTAGCTAACTAGGACCTTAATCTGACGTTCTGGAGCAGCAGCTTGGGGGAAGAACAGCCTGAGCCCTTAAGGAAAGGGATTTTTGAAGGGAAAAACCGCAAGGCGGGATTAAGCCTTGGCATTTCAGGATTGGTTAAAGGCATATAACCTTTGAATTCGTTGGTTGGTGTATAGGGGAATTTCAAAGCAGTAACTGTGAGCAGACTAGAACTTCAAAACAGTGGTTCATCAGACACTCACAAGAACACTTGAAGCAAGCAAATGTTGTTTGGACACCCGGATGGGGGTCGCTTTGTCTGGAGCAAGCATAGTTTCTGGTTATCCTTGGAACTGTCTGTGTCTTGGCTGGGGCTGTATTCACTCCCCCAGTTAGACTGTGTTTCAAATAAAGTTCTTTTTCAAAATGGAGTTTGTCCTGCTCCTTTAGTTAACAGAAGAGAAGACTCCATCTCAGGCTCCATGGGGAGAATACTATCAGTGATGTGGTTTTTTGGCATCACCCATATTATGCAAGCAAACCTTTATCCACACTATATAAGTAAGCCTAACAAACTCATAAAGAAACTTGTCTACCCATAATAATATTTTTTTTCATTTTTTTGAGACAGGGTAGCTTTGGAGCCTGTCCTGGAATTCACTCTATTAGACCAGGATGGCCTCAAACTCACAGAGATCCGCCTACCTCTGCCCCCCAAGTGCTGGGATTAAAGGCAAGCACCACCACCACCTGGCATTATCCTATTGCATGTAGTCTGAACAGCCTTGAACTTCTGATCTTGCTACCCCCACTTTCTGAGAACTGTGGCTTGGGCTGCCACACCTGGTTTGTATAGCTAACTACATATAGAACATTTATACATATGTGTATATATAAGGGTGTTTCACTCACACCGTGTGCTACTTTCAGTTATGATTAAAAAAAAAAAAATGATCACCGCTGAGCTAGAAAGTCAGGAAGCAGGGAGAGGTGATGGACTCTCCACCCAAACACCCCAAACCCTTTGGATATAGGGGCACTGGTTCAAGTCTGGCTACTTCCTGCGGGCATGAGGTGACGTGGGGGAGGGGAGAGTTGGGAGGTGTGGCTGGGGAGGCATTAGGTTACCTGCCATCCTGGAGACCTCAGGCATCTGATCCTTGAGGGAGATGAGAGGGCAGGTTGCTAGGAGAAAAAAATAGATTGTTATTACCGACCCTATGAATGGGGCTAGCCATGGGAAGGGTGACTAAGTGCCAGACAGAATGGGACAGAGAGATGCCCTGGTTGTACAGGAGAGGCACGGGTGAATAAGCGAGACACGAGAGCAGATGTGCCCTTTAAAACCAGATTTTAGCTGTTGGGTAGGTGTCCATTTGAGCCAGGAGAGGTGGTACCCTAAATGGTGAAGTTTCAGAAGTTAGTATAGGGGCTGGCTTTATCTGAAAGACTCTCTGTAAGTTGGTCTTGGCTCAGACAGCAGGAGTGACCTGTAAAAATATGTGGGGTTATGAAATTGGGTGGGGTTAAAATAGGCTCTGGAGACTGTTTTTACACCAGATTTCTTGATACAACAGCAGAACTTTTCCCAGGAATCTGCAGGTATCTGTAAGACAGCTGGAACAGATTTACATCTTGGTGTCATAGCAAAGGACTTTGGCTTTAGGTTAAAAGGCACAAAAATTTTAGAAAACAAAGAAACTGGAAACTCTAAACCTCTGAAGATACATCTGAAACCTGTTCATTTGGGTCTATGAAGCCCGTGAAAGAGGCACACCTGTCTGTATTTTTTAGCAGGAAACTTAACAAAGTGCCTTTCTCTATGAATGGAGCTTGTAGGAATATAACCTCTTTCTGGAGCTGCTTCATCAGAGCTCTAGCTCCAATTTCCTCCAACTCAAACATCAATGTAAGAGCCGGGCGACGGTGGCGCACGCCTTTAATCCCAGCACTCGGGAGGCAGAGGCAGGCGGATCTCTGTGAGTTCGAGACCAGCCTGGTCTACAGAGCTAGTTCCAGGACAGGCTCCAAAGCCACAGAGAAACCCTGTCTCGAAAAAAAAAAAACAAAACAACAACAACAACAACAAATCAATGTAAGAACAGTTCCCACAAACAGGGACAGGAATGAGAGTACACAGGAGCGTCCATTCTTTTGTTTGGGTGACAAAACCAGCAAACATAAAGGTCCAACGGTGCCATCTGCACCTATCCCCACCCATGACATTCCTGAGGAGAGCACTTTTAACCTATTGGCTCCTCGGTTCTTCTTCAGGTGCACGGAGTCTGAGGAACCCAAGGCTTCTCACATCTCAACCCGGGCTGCGGAGGCAGTGAGTTCCGGGTTCTACAGAAAATGACGAAGGGCACAAATCTTTTGAAGACAGGCAATGTGGACGTGTATGGAGGATGGGGCGGGCTGCGGAAACCGGGAGTCCTGCAAATTCGAGAGCGCGAGAAACCGCGTGGGACAGAGAGGATACTGTACCTGTTCGGGGATGGGGACACACGGGAGGACGGGCACACTGGCTCTAAAGAGACGCGGAAGGGCGTGAAACCCGGCCGCTTCAGACAGCGTCGTCCAGAACCGAGCCGCGAAGCAGAGACTGACGGTTCCTTCTCCCGGTGGGGACCGGGGTCGCCGTGGATACCTCAAGAAGGTCTGCAGGTCTCCTCCGCCGCGGCCACCAGCCTCGGTGCCGAGACGGTGACCTCGGGTCCACTGCGCGCCCCGCCTGCGGAGCCCGAGGACGCGCGCTGGAGGCCGCGGGAAACTCTGAGGAGCCGGACGCCGGGCGAGCTCACCCCGGGCGGGCGCCCCCACCCTCCCTGGCTGCACCCCGCACTCAGGGTAGGAGGAGGGGGCGGGGGCGCCGGCCTCCGCCGCTCGGTCGAGTCCGACGCCTGCTCGAGCCTTGGGTACGCGCGCAGCCCCGGAGTGCACGGTGGCCGAATCGGCTCCGGACGACTGAGGCCGCCACACCGAGTGGCGCGGACCAGCACGACCCGAGCGCTCGGGGCGGCGACTTCTCGTCGTCTAAGGGGCTTCCTGCTGCAGGAAATTGGCTGGAGCCTCTGGGCCTCCTAGAAAGGCAGAAGGAATGAGAAACCGGTGAGGGCTTCTCAATGACCGGGCCCACCCTGCACTTAGTGGCCCCCTAAGGAGATGGGCAGCTCTCCTTGCCTTGTTGTCTAATATATATTTAATATAAATATATATTTAATATAAATTAATATCATTGTTTATTTATGTGATGCAAGAGATGAAACTTGGACCTTTGTGTCCTGTTGGACAAGTGTTATACCAATGAGGGGTATCTCCAAGCGCTAAAACTTTTTTTCTAGTCCTGAAGGCAATTTGTAAAATTTAATGTATAACATCCATACAGAGAATTTCAAAATTCAGATGCACACTATAACAACCTGTAAAATGAGTATGTGGGAATATTACTTACCTGTCAAGTGGAACTTGCTCAAGAGCTCCTCACATGCTCCTCCGTAGAAACTAAGGTAATCATTTTGCTGTTTTTTTCTTTAGTTTTCCTACTTCTTTATAAATTCCTAGACTGTAAATGTTTATAAAGTTTTCCTAGTTTTGAACTTTATCAATCTGTGGATATTTTGTGTCTTGTTTCTTCACCTTTAGGTGGCATCCTTTCAGGTTTCTGCGACTATCTCTAAGGTAGCTTTTGTTGCTATGGAGATTTATCTCCATAACTGTATGTGCAAATTCTGCGTCTGAACCTTTGGTTGTTTCTGCTGTTAGCTGTTGGAGTCAGAGCTGCTACATACACTCCTCTGAGATTTCTAATACACACGGACACCTTCCCAGCCTCCTAGGAAGCTCAAAACCATCAGTCCAGGAATCTGACCCCCTTTTCTGAACTTAGAGGGCTCCAGGCACACATGGTGCACAGATGTGTACACATGAGTATAAAAATCACTTGTAATCATTAAATAAATGTACCGCCACACCTGGCCGTTTTGTTTTGTTTTAACAGTCCTAGCTGTCCTGGAATTAGCTCTTGCAGACCAGGCTGGCTTTGAACTCATAGAAATCCACCTATTTCTGCCTCCCTAGTGCTGGATTAAAGGCGTGTGCCACCTTAGAATGCTCGCAAGTGCAAGTGTCCCAGTAGTCACCTCACAGGTTTTTGTGTTCTGGTACAAACACCCTAAAGTGTATGAAGGTCAAAGTATAACCTGTGAATGTCGTGTGTCACAGTATGTATGAAGGTCACGGTATAACTTGTGAATGTCATGTCTGCAGTATGTATGAAGGTCAGGATATAATTGTGAATGTCATGTGTCACAGTACGTATGAAGGTCATGGAATAACTTGCAGGAATCACCTCTTTGTTTACCTTGTGGATGCCAGGGATCAAACTCAAGTTGTCGAGTTTAGTGACAGTCACCCTTACCCAATCAGCCATCCTTTTTTTTTGTTTGGTTGGTTTGGTTTTGGTTTTTTGAGAGAAGGTTTCTCTGTGTAGCTTTGGAGCTATCCTGGAACTCGCTCAAACTCACTGGGCTCCGCCTGCCTCTGCCTCCCAAGTGCTGGGATTAAAGGTGTGCACCACCACTGCTCTTGTGAGAATTTGAGTTTGGTTTCTAGCACCCACTTCCTATGGCTCACAACCACCTGTACCTCCAACTCTGGGTGATTGAAGGCCCTCTTCTGGCCTCTGTGGACAGTTGTACTCACATGTCCACAAACCCTCAGGCACACACACATATACACACAAGTAAAAATAAAACACCTTTAAAAATGAATGTCATTGATTTCACAATATTATAGAAAAACCCTTAAGACATTTGTATATATTAAACTTTTATTTTGGTGGAAGGCTATAATTTTTGTTTTGTTTTGACATTTAGGACTTATTTAACGTGCGTGGATGTTTTATTTGCATGTATGTCTGTGCACTGTGTACATTTGGTGCCTGCAGAAGCCAGGAGGGGGCGCTGGATCCTTGGAACTGGAGATAGAAACAGCTCTTAGCGTCTATGTAGGTGTCAGCGGCTGGAAGCTGAACCCAGGTCCTGGGCAAGAGCAACAAGTGCTCTTAACTGCCAGCAGAGCCATCTCTCTGGCTCAGTAGTGGGCTGTTGTTTTAAGTATTGAAGAACTTAAAGGTCTGCACCACCATGTCCTTGTGTGTTCATTTATTTCTGAAAAAGAAAAAGAGTTGGTTGAGACAGAGGCCTGTTTTAGTATTCCTTTCCTAGGACCTGTGTGTGCTGTGTACAAGACAGAGACTAGCTGGAGAGAAACCCCTGGAAGGCATGTCAGTCACTGCATGGTAACTGAAACCAGGATGCGTTGTAAACAGACCTTAGCTTACTGACCACTAAGCAAATAGGTCTCTCGACCTTTGTTTTCTTTGAGCAATTCTCCTCTGCCCTAAACCACAAAGAAACCAATCTCTGGAGACTTGGATGCCCTATAGCCAGGGCTAGCCCTAAGAAAGGGTTTATATTGTGTAGATGACCTAGAGGAATATCTTCCAGCTTCCATAGCCCCCGCCCCCATATACCAAGCGACCTAATCTAATTTTGGTCATAGTGCAGTATAGTCATACACTCAATGACCGAACTATCCAAGAACGTATGAAGTGAACCTACTTTGTTTTCCTATCCTTGTGGAATAAAGGGAAAAACAAAAGTTCGGGCAAGCTGGAAAAAAAATAACTAGTTTTGGGGCTGGAGAAATGGCTCAGAGGTTAAGAGCATTGCCTGCTCTTCCAAAGGTCCTGAATTCAATTCCCAGCAACCACATGGTGGCTCACAACCATCTGTAATGAGGTCTGATGCCCTCTTCTGGCCTGCAGGCATATACACAGACAGAATATTGTATACATAATAAATAAATAAATATTTTTTAAAAAAATAACTAGTTTTAACTTACATGTTAGAAAAAATATCTCATTTTCTAGCTTTGGTCTGGTCATCAGCTGGAATGGATTTGCCCAAGTGATGGCCCACAGAAAGGCCAATTTTGTTCTTTTTCTGCTCCTCTTGAACCTCTTTTTTCAGTACGAATCCCGCCTGGAAATTGAGGTCAAACATGCTGCTTGGAGTAAAGTAGAGTGTCTTCTCCTCCCAGATAGTCTCCAGGCGCTTCTTCCACCCTTCCAGGATCTGCTTCCGGGTTTCTGGTGGGGTATGGCTAATGCTGTACACCACCTGTGGTTCCAAGACCTGGAAGCCACAGAAATGCAGAATGCCACTCTGCAAGATACAAAACACAGAGATAAGTCTCAGGAGCAGTCTGGCAGGTTGTACTGTAAACAGGTATCAGAAGTTGATCTGGGGACAGGAGCGATGGCTCAGTGATTAGCAGGGCTTCCTGTTCTTCCAGAGGACCCGAGTTCAATTTCTAGTACCCACATAACAGCTCACAACTGTCTGTAACTCCAAGATCTGACACCCCCATCCAGACACACATGCAGGCAGAACACCATTGCACAGAAAATAAATTATTAAAAAAAATGAAGTTGGTCTGGGGCTGAGAACTGGCTCAACCATTAAGATTTCTACCCTCTCAGAGAACCCAGACTTGGTTCTCAGCGCCCATGTGGAGTGACTCACAACTACCTGTCACTCCAGCTCTGAGGGACTGGATGACCTTTTCTGATCTCTGTGAGCACCTACATAAATGTAGCATAGCACACACAGAGCAATAAAATAATAAGTAGAAAACTTTAAGTAAATAAACAAAACCGCCTGGGGGCTGGAAAGAGGGCTTGGTGGTTAAGAGCACTGGCTGCTCCTCCAGAAGACCTGGGTTGGGTTGCCAGCACCCACATGTTGTCAACACCTGTTCCAGGAGATCCAGTGTCCTTTTCTGACCTCCACTGACACTGTCTACACACGGTACAGAGATACATGCAGGCAAACTCATGAAGTGAAAAAGTATTAAAAATTATTTTTGGTTTTTGAGACAGGGTTTCTCTGTGTAGCCCTGACTGTCATGGAACTCGCTATACAGACCAGGCTGCCCTTGAACTCACAGAGATCTGCCTGCCTCTGCCTCCCCAGTGCGCTGCCACCACTTGGCTAAAGTTTTAAAAAAATCTTTCAAAAGGTGATCTGGGGCTGGAGGGATGGTTCAGAGGTTAAGAGCACAGTCTGCTCTTCCAGAGGTCTTGAGTTCAATTCCCAGCAACCACATGGTGGCTCACAAACCATCTATAATGAGGTCTGGTGCCTTCTTCTGGTCTGCAGGGATACATGCAGGGAGAACACTGTATATATAATTAAAAAGAGAGAGTGTGTGTGTGATCTGGGCTTGCCAATGAGAGAGTCCAGTCAGACCTGTAGTGCCCTGGGGAATTGTCACAGTTCCTTCTCTCACCTCTGCCCTCCCTCCCTTTCTGTCACCTCATTTAGCCTCCTTGGTGAAGCTTTCCTTTGAATGAATAAATTCTTGGAACCGTGCCAACCTGGATCCTCTGCCAAAGAGCTGGAAGTTCTATTACATTAGGGAGAGCGCTTGCCCCTTGGCAGTGACTCGGGCCAGGGCATGTGGATGTGCATTCTTCTGCAGCTTGACATGGTGAGCTTAGTCTTTACACTGCACAGCTCACTCACTGTCTCCTCCAATCCCCTTCCCTCTTCCTCAGGGTCCAGTGACCTCAAAGCCCACCTCCAGAGCAAGCTCAGTGAACTCAGTTCTTAACTTGTCCTGGGGAGCCAGATGTGCTGGTCCATGCCTTAAGCCCAGCACCAAACACGCTGAGGCAGGAGAATTGCTACAAGTTCAAGTCACCCTGGTCTTACATAATGAGACCCTCCCTTTTTTTTTATTATTATTTTTTTATTTGTTTTTTGGGTTTTTTTTCTTTCTTTTTTTTTTTTTGGTTTTTGATTCTCTTGTATTTGTTTTTTTTTTTTTTTTTTTTTTTTTTTTTGGTTTTTTTTATTTTATTCTTGTTCTTTTTTTTTATTTACTTTTTTTTTTTTTTTTTTATTTTTCTTTTCTTTTTTTTACTTTTCTTTTTTTTCTTCTTCCTCTTTTTTTATATTATAATTGGTGTTTGTTTTTTTTTTTTTTATTAAATTTATTATTTTTTTTTGTTTTATGTTTTTATTTTTTTCTCTTTGTTTTTTTTATTATGTGAGCGCAGTAGCATGAATCCCGCATGCTCAGTCAAGATGGGAGGCGGGGACATGAGAACGGCTCAGTGCTCCTTGGTCTGCTAGTCTCCACTGTACAGTACCACGACAGAAACAAGGGAACCCCGGCTGTCTTCCCAAAGTTGTCCTTTGATACACACACACACACACACACACACACACACTCATGCACGCCCCCTCCTTTTTTTTTTTATTAAGAAAAACCAAAATGTTCTGAAGCTGCAGATATAATTCCAGGAAGAATGGGGAGCCAAAGGTTTTGGCTCCACACACTGAGGGCCAGGTACACTGTGGCTTGACCGTGTACCCCAGCGGCCTGGGTCACAAGCTCCTGAAGGAAGCCTGGATGCAGCTGCATCTTGCTAGGCTTTCCTCCTCACACTTCGGGGCAGTTTTCGGTTACTGCCCGGAGGTTTGGATTCCGAGGAACGCTCAGCTAACTAACTCCCCTGGAAGTTCACCCACAACAAGGTACCTGAAGTGGCCAGAGGGTGATGTTTATGTCCCCGTGGACGCCGTTAACAGAGTACATGGAGTCGTTACTCCCAGTGGTAAAGGAAAGCAAGGCCTTCTTATTCTGGAAGAGAGAACAGGTGTCATCCCCTCCTCTCCTGGGACCCACTGAGTTAATGAACGGGGCCCCAGGGAGAGGGGCGATTGAGTCCATCCTAGGGGTGCTATCATTTCAGACCAGCTCCTCTGCAGCTTCGGCCTGACTCTGCACATGTTCCAATTGTGGTTGTGACCGGCACATGGCTGTGGACAGCCATGACTGCAGCACAAATCACACTCACTTCAAACATTAGGAGATGACCCGCCATGGTAGATAACCCAGCATGGTGGCACATGGCTTTAATCCCAGCATTCGGGAGCCACAGGCAGGAGGATCTGAGAAATTGAGGTCAGCCTGTTACAGAGTGAGTTCCAGGACAGCCAGGGCAACACAGAGAAACAAAACAAAATAACAAAAACATTGACTGTACACGTCTTTAATTCCAGACCTCAGGAGGCAGAGGCAGGTGGGTCTCTCTGAGTTCCAGGCCAGCCTGGTCTGCAAAGTGAGACCCTACATCAGTTTTTTTTTTATTTAAATTTAAATTTAAAAAAAAAAAAGTCACACGATCTTTCTTGCCACTGTTTGGCCTCCAATCAACAAAAGGTTTTTGTTGTTGTTGTTGTTGTTTTGCTTTGCTTTAGTTGTTTTATTTTTGTCCACACAGGATCTCAAGTATTCCAGGCTGCCCTAAAACTCTGTTTATAGCTGAGGATGACCTTGAACTCATGATCTTCCTGC